CTTCTGATTCAAAAAAAAAAAAAAAATCTAGTTTGCTACAAAGGGAAGTTCAGCTACTCAAAGTACTCGGTCTCACTATTATGCTTAGCATCAGTGCAAGGACTAAGTAGCTGGATTAGCATGAAGAGAGCCTGCCATTTGTATTTGGTTCATGAAACCTGCCAAAAATTGGCAATTACAGTATGTACTGCCAGGACTGTGTTACAGACAAAGCAAGAGTCCCTTATCCTGTGTGTGCAAGCAGCAAAGCAAAGCATACATGCAAATCACGTGTGAGGGCCTTACGGCCTGTTTGGATCTATCGTTAGACTAAACTTTTCTAGACCATCTAAACACGTGGACTAAAAGATGGATTAATCCAACCTAACTAGTTGTTACTACTTGTTAGCCCCTCACTGGAGTTTGTATTTTTCATACAACACAAGACTAAGGTGTTGTTTGGTTGCCTCTCCTAAATTTTAGTCGATGTCCTATCGAATATTTTGATACATGCATGAGTATTAAATATAGATTAATTACAAAACTAATTGCATAGTTTGCGACTAATTTACGAGACGAATCTTTTAAGCCTAATTAGTCCATGATTTGACAATATTTTGCTACAGTGAACATGTGCTAATGTCGGATTAATTAGACTTAAAAAAACGTCTCGTGGAGTACTGACGGATTATGTAATTTATTTTTTTATTAGTATCCGAACACCTCATACAATATTTTCCCGACACACCTCATAAATTTTGGTTACTAATCCAAACACCACCTAACTTTGGTCGTCTAAACTTTAGCAAGCAACCAAACTAGCAACTAGCCCAGGTGATCAACCAGATCCTAGGCCCACGCTGAGCTGTTACACTCAATGCAGCAAGGTCTTGTTTAGATTCTAAGTTTTTTCACTCTCTCTCCATCACATCAAATCTTTAGATATATGCATAGAGTATTAAATGTAGATAAAAAAATAACTAATTACACAGTTTGATTGTAAATTACGAGACGAATCTTTTAAGCCTAGTTAGGTCATAATTGGACAATAATTGTCAAATACAAACGAAAATGCTACAGTGTCAAATACTGATTTCTAACCGCGAACTAAACAAGGGCCTCATTTAGATTGCAAATTTTTGCAACCTGGACACTGTAGCACGTTTCGTTTGTATTTGACAAACTTTGTCCGATCATGGACTAACTAGGCTCAAAAGATCCGTCTCGTGATTTACAACCAAACTGTATAATTAGTTATTTTTTTTACCTACATTTAATGCTCCATTCATACGTCAAAAAATTAATATGATAGAGAGAGAATAAAAAAACTTAAAATTTGGATGCATTCTAAACAAGGCCAAGGCCCAATATCCCTTCTAGAAACATACTACTTGATGGAGGTCGGAGAGTACTAGGACGCAGTGGATGTGGATCAGAGTAGGAAGAAATCAAAGCTGAGCAAGTGAGCACAGTTAATGCACCGGCGACCAGCCGGCCTGTGCAATTATACAACCAAATCATCATCAAATGTTCTGACGCCACGGACAGCTAGCACAAAATGGGGATCAGGCGTTAATGCCCATACCAACCGCATGCAAATCTCAACTACTCAGACTGTCTCAATGATGACCACCTAAACTCAACACCTATTCTCTGTTTTGGATCTTGCACATTGAAAAGTATCCGAACCCAAAAATCAGTTTCTCCAACAAACAACCTAAATCACTGTACACCGGCCTCTCCTCCCTCTCTCCCTAGTCTCTCTCTGCCTCTCTCTCGGTCTCTCTCGTTGCCCCCTCTCTCTCTTCCTCGCTCCTCACCAGCCGCAGATCCCGCGCCTCCCTGCATGCGCTGCCACCCGCCCGCCTCCTTTCCCTGCCAAGTGCCGAGCCTCTCCCTCCCTCCCCGCCGAGCAGAGGCCCCGCCGGCGAGATCCAGGCGCGCGCGGCGGTGGCCCCCCGGATCCAAGCGACGACGACTCCCCAAGCTCGCCGCTGCTTCTGCGGGCCCACGACACCGTGCACGCCCGCGCCGCCTCCGTCCTCGACAACCCCGCAGCCCGCGCGCCACCACCGGGCCACGCTCCAGGCGGCCCAGCGCGCCGTCGAGCTCGCGCTGGAGTCCATCGAGCTGGCCCACTTCCACGCCATGCTGCCATTCGACGCCGCCAACGACCCTTCACCCCACTCCCTCAGGTTGCTCGGCCCACTGCACAGTGTTTTGCGCCGTCGGAAGAGACGACGTTTTTTTTGCCTCGCAAGTCGCCTGCTACGCAAAATGCCTGCTTTGTTTGTCTCCTCCGTTGGAGCACGTTTTCGGGACGTAAAACACTGTGCAGCACGTATTTTGCGTTTGGGTCGTCCTCTGCCTGCTCCGTCGGAGACAGTCTCACTCATCTCTCCATCGACTACTGTTCTGGGATGTTAAGGTATTATTAGGGCATGCGATTATTAGCACTAATGGCGGCGGCCGAGATAGCTATAGCTAGCAAAGGTGTACGACGACGACGACGATGGCGACGTCGTGCAGGACAGAACAGTGCGTGCATACCTCGACGAAGGCGGTGACCCTCTGGACGGCCATGGTGCGGACGAGCTTGGGAGGGATGGTGTCGCGGGCGACGACGGTGTAGGCGTAGTCATTGGCGCCGATCTCGCCCACCCAGAAGAGCGCGTCGGCGACCCTCTCGCGGGTCTTGGCCCCGGCGGAGGCGGCGCGGAGGTGCGCGTCGAACCAGTCCAGCTGCGTCATGATGGACTGCGGCGTGACGTCGATGCTGAGGTTGTTCCGCGCGAAGAAGTCGTGCTCGATGGCCGTGGCGCCGGCCACCGCGAAGTTGACGCCGACGGCGGTGGTGGCGTTGCTGGAGTTGGAGTTGGAGGAGAGGTAGGGCGGCAGGTAGTTCGGCAGCGCCAGCGCCTCGGCGAGGAAGTCGACGACGAGGCGGCCGTCGGAGTAGCGGTTGGTGGAGCGGTGGAAGAAGGTGGCGCCGTAGGGCGGGCTGGACACGTAGCCGAACGAGTAGGGCCCCGTCGTCGAGTGCGTGTTCCCCGTGTCCGTGAACGAGTCGCCGAACGCGTACACCCTCCGGAACGGCGGTGTAGCGGCGGCGGCTGCAGGGGCCGCGCCCACGGCCGGAGCTGCCGTCGTCGCCACGACGGCAAGGAGGAGGAGGAGGCCGAGGCGGTTGGCCGCCGTGGTGGTCGCCATGCCCACGTACGCACCACGCTGCGGCGCGCGTTAGCGACAAGCTTAAATGTTTGTCACTCTGAGTAGCTAGCTAGCGTGCACCTTGCGGCGTGCGCGCGCGTGTGGTACCTTGTCTTTATAGTACTCCAGCCCTGCAGTCTCCATGGATAGTGCAGCAAAATGGCATGGCACGACGACGATGGTCGCATTGATTCCGTGCGCACAAAGTTAGGTGCAGCGCCAATGCAGTCCACACACGCACGCGCGTGCACCGCCAACTGCGCTCGCCGTGGCAATTCATTGCAGGGCGAGGACGAGACGAGCACGAGGCGGCCGCCGGCCGGCAACCACCGACGACCTCGCTCATCCCGCGCGCGTTCAGTGCCGAGATGACCGGCGGCGGCGTCCCATCCGTTCCCCTCCACTCCACAGTTGAGCGGCACCCGTCCGTAGTTCATTCACAAGAACAGGATCCCAACGGAGTGTCGTGCCTGACGATAATCCTGTAGATGCAGATGCACTTGATAATCCTGCAGATTGTTATCCAAATATTTTAGTTGTTTATTGAATCCTTTTAACTCGACTGTAGCTTCAGCTGAAAGAGGTTTCTTAAATTTAAAGTTGTTAAAGAACTATTTGAGATTAACTATGTCAAAAAAAAGATTAAATGGATTAGTTATGTGCACCATCAAGAGTATTGATCTCAATACCGTCCTCGGTGATTTTGCACGTCGTTTTTTGCAATGCCATCTCTCGTCTCTGCTGCACCACGCCACCATCAGTCCGGCTCTCTCTCTCCTTCAGTTTTTGTGTTCGCTGCTGGCGAACAGCCGAATTATCTCCTTCCTGTTATGCACGTATCCCGATGCGCATTTTGTGATGCACATCAGGAGGGCAACGTGCCCAAGGGGTAGAATTTACTTTCGAAAGCAGTTCCCCCCCCTAAGGGCATATGCTCTTATGTTGTACATCAAGATATGTCTCACCATAGTTTTTTACCGCTAATGCAAAAGACTAGTGAAAACAGAGTATTACACCAATAGTAAATTAAACCTTTGGTATAGGTTCAAATCCTATTGGACGTAATCTTTTTTCTATCTACTCTTTAAATAACTATACTAAAAACTATTTTTTTTTGCATGATTCAAATGAAAAATCTTTCTCAACGATTCATCTTCTACTAACTCGAGTTATACTAATAAAAATATACATGCTATATTTATATTTGTTCCTGAAGGGAGAACCTAAGCTGTTCCTGAATAGCTTTCAACAAAAGGGTTTCCGCTTGCTCGGTGAATGTCTTATTGCATACGGGAGATACTCTTTAGCGATTGTTGGCAGAGATCAATTAAAAAACAGTGAAAATAGGGTAGCAATTCCAAGTTATTGAGGACTTTTTTTTCCGTAGCAACTTTGTAGGAATCTAGTATATATTTGCACCGCGAAAGTTCTTGTAAAATTCAGTTCTAAAACAAGATACTGTAAAATTCACGTGTTTGACCAGGGTCCCACCCAAAATTGGCGACCTCCGTGGGACCCGCGTGGCCAGTGTCCCAACGCGTGGCCATCGTTGGAGTCAAACGGACCCGCCAACCCCGTCTCCCGCCAAATTCTCCCGTCGAAGTCGGACGACCCTTCTCGTGCTCGGATATATAGCACGCTACCGCCATTGTTACCGCTTCTAGCAGCTGCTTCATTCTATATAGACCTAATAAAAACAAAGATTGCTCCTCCTCATCCTCCACTTACGATAACCTGCCCATTCCCCGATCCGTTCCGTTCCCACGCGAGGCGCCGACGCCGTGCGTGATCTCCGTCCGTGCCGTGCAGCCATGGCCTCGCACCGGGCGCTGCTGCTGCTGCTCCTCGCCGCCGCGCTCGTCGCGGCGCTGACCGCCGTCGCGTCCGCCGAGGATGCCAAGCCCACCATCCTGACCCCCGTGGCGCAAACCCCGCTGGGGTCCTTCGACGGCGACAAGCCGGCCTCCAACGACGACACCGTCGACGACGACGAGGACGCTGCGCCCGTCGGCGCGCCCAACGGGGCCACCATGACCGAGCCCACCGACGTCCCCGCGCCGCCCGGCGCCGAAGCCACCGCTGGCGGCGCCGAAGCCAGCAACGCACCAGCCGCGGCTGCGGCGCACGTCTGCGCCGCCGCCGTGGCGGTCGCCGTGGGAGCCTTCGCCTCCTTCTGAGGACTGGAGATTGATTTCGTTTCGTGCAATGTTTTACGTGACCATTTTCTTCGATTTGATATTTGTAAACACACAGCTAATCGTCTAATCGTATGTGTAACTATTTTTCAGTGAACATATCCAGGTTGTTTATTAGTTTTACTTACATTACCGAGTTTGAGCTTATAGATGCTTCTCAAGACAGCACGGTGATGTTGCTTCGCAATCTTTCGACAGACATCATCATGCATTCCAAAATTATTGTCACGAGGTGCACTTATCGAATTGCACGGTCAAAATCAGGCGAGGATGGGAGATTTACATTTATTACAGCCACCATGCATCCATCCCATCCCAGCTGGACAACGTACTCCTTTGAGATGTCAAATCCTTTCATCTACTCCTATATGCTTCACATAACCTACAGTACAGCCACAAATTCTATGAAAAAAAGGTCCTAGACCTAGAGCGTGGTTTCTGGTTTGAAACAATTTTGCCTCCTGTTGCATCTTCGTGTGATTCTTGACTCTCCTGTAGCTGTTCGTGAAACTATTGCTCACTATCTCACAGCTATACCCTACCGTGGATTCAGAATCAGAACAGCGTGTCGACGAAGCAGATACGCCTGAGCCACTGATTTTCAGTGAACACATCAAAGCAGTAGAACGACCAGCGTTGCTAACATCCACTCTCTATACTGCATCATTTCCATTCTCTCGGTCCGTTAATTTGTGGGCATCCGGTGAGACAGGTTTGCTTACTGAGGAGTGATCGTCAGTTGCTTCCTGAAATTCATAAACAACCGAATAGGGATGAAACTTGTAGTCTTTCCATGGATGCTCAGAAGTCAAAACAACCTTCTTGCGTTTTCATAATGGAAGACACATTGTCAGAAGCAACAGCATACCTTTTCTGAGGATAAATGCTGAGCCTTTTCATTGCTACTATGGTTGACTCCACCATTGCTATTAGTTACGATCGGTCCATTTTCATGAGACTCCTGTTTAATATTCATTATCAGTCAATAGGACTTCACCTGCTGAAATAAACCATATAAAAGTAACAAAAATAGAGACTACCTGTTGATCTTTTTTGTCTCCAGAAGACGCATCAGAATTTTGTGTTTCATCTAGGAAGCTAGATTCAGAACTTGACTGTTCTGATTGTTTTGCTTGTCCCAGAACCTCTTTTCTCCTTGATTCTTCCTCCTTTAGTTTCCTAAATCTGAACACAAGACAAAAGGCATGCAGAGTTGGAAAAATCAATTTTTATCAACTTACATTTTTTTTTTCTTCCTGTCAGATTCATCGACCTTATTTTAGAGTAGAAATAAACAGTATAGGTTTCAATTGTAAATAAGCACAACCACAAGCTAAATGTGGCACAGAATAAATTAAATACCCATGACACTACAGTGCCAAAATATAAGTGGCAGCATGCATCTGACCCTATGTTCCAGTCAACCGTTGGGTCCCAGAATTATCACCAAACATTGGATTCTGCATCTGTCCATAGTAAATGGAATTTCATTTCATAATATTCCAATCAGACTTATCCTAGTGTGCATTGTTGCAAGGATCCTGGTCCTAGATCCAATAATTCACTGGCCATGAATTTAGTGTTGCAATAGTACAGGCATTACCTTTCACCACGTTGTGGCCCACTTGGTTTCGGCTCTTGGCTGGGCTGGGGTTTACTAAGTTTAGGGAGAGGTTCACTCTGAACAGTAGATTCATTCTTCTGAACAGTAGTCGATTCTTCTCTTGAGAGTTTGTCAATATATTCTTTGACAGGATCTTTTGCACCTCCAAGCTTTTGAAGCCACACTTGTTGTGCAGTACTGAGGATATTATTTGTAAGCCTGCAGGAAAGCGGTAACTTATGAATGCCATAAATAAATATAAAAGATAACAAGAAAACAAAACAGAAAACAAGCGACATTTGGTAAAATTATCACATAAGTGAATATAAAATTAGAACAGTTACAATTAAAACAGGAAAAATGTGAAGAATTTATTTTCAATTATAGAGCATGCTATATGCTGGACAAAACTAGTATACCAACCTTTTAGTTGTATGGGTTTATAAGACAATCAATGGCTACATCTACCTTTGAGAAAAAGCAAGTTTTACAAATATTTAGCAGTCAAGCATATTCCGACATATTAAAGGCAATACTGATAAATATTTTGATTATTTGGAGGAACTCTATTAATGGAACCTGCAACTAATCATAATAAATAGAGTAAAGGGAGTTCCCAGTGCAGAGAGCTCCCGCTCTGTGCAGGGTCTGAGGAAGGGTGTCAGTGGCAAGCCTTACCCTCGCCTGTGCAATGCGAGGAGACCGCAACTTGAACCCGGGACCTTCCGGTCACAGGCAGTAAGACTCTACTGCTTGCACCAGGCCCGCCCTTCAATCATAATAAATAGAGCGATTCTGATTAAATGGTTGAACTGCATCGATAGTCAGGACTCAGGAAGCAGTCAATATATAAATGTACTCAAGCTTTCAAAGTCAAAAGCAACAACAAAACACTGGCGGTGTTTTCATTAACCATGGGGAACCGAGCAACGGCTCACAGGTCATGTGAGTCTCTCTCCCTCCCTCCCTCTGTCTTCTCTCTTCTAAAGGGATGGGTACTCTCCTCCCATAAGGTAAAGCCAAGGGGTCATATTCTCCCCGAGTTCGAGTTTTGTGTACATACATAGCAATTGGGATATAGCAGGCCCAGCTCAATCAGTAATGCCACCGCAGCACAAGGGTATGCAGTACTGGGACTCTGGATCATTTAAGTAAAATCGAAGTTCAATTTGTAAAACACACTTACCAGTACAGACCTAGTCCAGAAGGCACTGAAAGAGCAAAATAACCAATTAGCAATGGTAAGAACTTTGTTACAGCCTGAGCACCTTGTTGGTTAGGATCATTGCTCTACAAAACAATAACATGCCAAACAGCATGTTAGGGACTTCAAAATAGCAGAAGTTGGGCTACTGATGTATACTTGTGTCAGGCATAAAAAAAAGAGTAAGCCCTCAATATTGAAGCTTTCTCAATTCCCCAGTTCTTTTCCTTGAATAATGAGAATTGAAAATTTTGGAAAACAATACTACAATACAGATCTTTAATAGTGTGTTCAATTTGAGGTGTGTCTATCATGGGTTCATAGGTCATTCTACAAATTTTGCTGGGATCACATGTCCTTATTTTACACTAATCTGTCAGGGTGGGTGGGTAACAGATCTACCAATTCCACTCCTCAAACCAAACAAGTAGGTCAGATAATCAGATTCAGAGCTAGGATTGGACGATCCATCATCATGCCACTCCTACCAAACACTCCATAGACTTGAAGCGAACTGACAAAAGAAAGCTATCTGACCTACCTAAGAATCATGTGGGTTGAACTGAAGTCTTTAAGCCAATTCATATATCTTATATGGTTATTCATTAGCAGGTAGGCTAAGGAACATTGCTCCTAGTCTTTATCATGTAACCATTATTCATTAGTTCGGACACATGATCAAGACAGTTACAATGCTGAATCACTCCAAAGTAGGTGATCGGAATACACGTAATCAATGTTGAAAGTAAGTAGCTAGACAAGTGGAATTTCTCCTGCCAGAGGGCAGCTTGGCACTTAGCCGCTTGATTGCATTATATAGGAATAGCAAACTTGGGATACAAGAAGTTCTCAACTGCTACAGCATATTCTAGTGCATAAAGTAGATGCTAGCTTGGATGCTAAGGCACCTGAAAACAGCTAGACAGTGAATAGTAACTAGCCTAGACAGTGAATTGGTAAATAGCTAAGTAGATAACTAGATACATTGGGTAAGCACTAGGCTAAACCCTCAATCAATTTTTAGAACCACGACAAATAGATATAATTCAATCAGAAAACAAAATTTCCATGCAAATATTGAAGACCGAGATGCATGTGCTCCTAAAGTAGAATAGTACCTTAGTGAATAAACATGTTCAAAAGTTGCTAAAACTAACCTGTGGTGGCTGCATTACTTGAGTAGATATGTATTGTGAAATGACAAGAAGAACTGGTAACACAAGGTATGCCAAAGTGTCTGACCAGCCAAGAGGTGGATGACCATCCTACAATATCAGCAATTATACTGATGTCACAAATATAAAACGGACCCCATATTCTCCAGAAGTGCCGATCACCATTTTGAAACAGTCCTATCTAAATAAATACTTATATAGATCACCATAAGGCGTAAAGCAGCATTAACAGGCAAATTTCCAGGGTAGCAGAACTGCAGAACCTTAAATGTGCTTACTTTACAAAGTCACCATTTTAAAGCATCTACAGATTTCAAACAGGCACTAAAATCATGTTCAACCACAGTTTACTAACTTCAACACCAGCAAATAAAACCAAATTTGAACAAATCAACCAGACCTCAATTCCCTAGTCAAGATGAAAATTCGCCCACCCTAGGGTAATAAAACTCAATTGTTGTAAATCCTTCCAATATTTATGGAAAACACAATAGTGTTCAAACAGAGGATGCAATGATGTGTCACGCAATGTGCGCACAGGAAACTGAAACTGGACTAGTGAATTTTAGTTGTCATGAACTTCACTGCAGAACAGATCAATCTCGATGGAGGTAAATAATTGAGCATCACAGAAAAATCAATGTGATCCTTATCAATGTAAACTGCATGTAAAGTCAATGGAGCTCCAATAATTTAGTTGCACGACGCTGCTAAGTACAAACAAACTTAAAAAAATATAAACTGAATATGTGAGTCAATGGAGCTCCAATAGTTCTGTTTCTGTGTACAAGGTAACAAATCCTATGGTACGGAACATCAACTTATTCATGATCAGTGCTTACAGTAAAAGGAAAAAGCCAGGATATTCCCTGGCCATTTTGTCGAGCAGCAATTGTTGTAGGACCAGCCAAAGAAGGTATCCAAAAAAAGCCTTCAGTCAGAAGTCCCTTTTTAATGAAGACACATACACATCAGGCAGAGAAAATGTAAACTGTTCAACAAAGAAGAATTGACAGTGACAGAATAGACGTTTCAGCATATCAACCTCATTAGCTACATTTGAGAGAGCTCTGTATAGACCAATCCAAACTGGTATTGTCACAAGGGTAGGCAAGCATCCTATTGAAGGAAAATGCCAAAGGAAGTACATGTGAATAACTAACAGAAGGATGTATACAAAACAGAAAAGGTAGCAATAAACAGTAAAAGTCTGAACCAAAATGACAAGACTTTCTATTAAGACTTGCTATCCATTGAGGATTGAGGAGCATCCACTGATAGGAAAAACATCAAGCATGGTAATTGGTAAATCAGAGCTAACCTGCAAGTGGGTTAACACCAGATAACTTGTATAAGCGAGCAGTTTCAAGTTGTATCCTTTCCTGGTAGAGCAAATAAATGATTTACAAACTCAAAGTTGTAATCAAAATCCATTTTTGTGGTCTAAAATGCACTTTATAACACCACTGCACTCTACGACAATTCTTAAGTGAGAGCCCTTCCAAGAAAGGTGAGATTTTGGAAGTAGAGTAGTCTATTTTAAATAGGGCTTGAATAAAATGTGCACTTTGCTATACCCCATGGGCAAAATTACCCCTGTTAGATTGATGCTATAATGGACTTTGAGATAAGCTATCAATACATCAAGATCTAATCACAACGCTTTCTTAAAAACATTGTAACAGCTTCGTGAGGAGAAAAACCGAGTAAAACGAGAAAAGTAGACCTTCCACTTGATAAGGACCTCAAATTACAGTGAAATAATATTTCAAGTACTGGTGATAAACTGACTGTAAGGTTTATCCTTACTGCCATACAGTGAACATTGAAGAATACAATGTAAGAACATGCGAAGTGGTCTGACATAAGAACATGTGCAGCGATCCAATATATATTATTTTATAGATCAATGGCTGTCCTCGGAAGAGATTGCTGCTGCTGCAGCAGCAACCACTCAGAAGCACCTAAAGCTGCTAGAGTGCTAGACACTGCTCAATGCAGCAACAGCTGCAGCCACTGTGGAAAAATCACAACTGAGCATAGCCAACATGTAAAATATAATCACCTGATCACCAGCATATCGTTCTTGAATGGCCTTCACTTGAGGTTGCAGTGACCTCATTGCAAGTGCAGACTCAACCTATAAAAAAACAACATAACGTGCTATTTTCAATACTGGATTCAAAATGAAGATAAAGCACATGCGCTGCTTATAGCAGCAAGTAGTAAATCTGCAAAACTTGAAGGCACATCTAAGCAATGTCCAGAAAATTGAAAAATTCAGTTGCAAAGATCTTTGCAGGAAAAATGAAATCTTCACATTTCAAAACAAGTGCTGCAAGACATGGTGATACTAAGAAACCATAAATGTAATAGTAATACCCTACTCAAATGTTAATGACATGGAACTTGTTAAAGTAATTCTCTTTTGCATCTTTCAAAGAAACAACCAGTAATTGCTGCCAACCAAAACACTTGTGTAAAAGGACGGCAACTAATGCCTAGTCAGGTGGTATGTACACAATTTTCAGAAAGGTAAAAACAACTAAACAATAGGTTTTTGAAAGGAGAATATTTCAGCTGGTTGGAACTTGCAAGTGTATGGCTTTAATTTTATAGCATTTATCAGTAGTGGGTAATGCTTGAATGCCGAACTTAATCCATATAAGGCCCAGTCTCATTAATTGTCTGACTCAGAGAGCAGGCAATTCATCTCCCAAGGAAAACCATGTGTTTCACATTTCTCTACCCACAGTTCCAGCATTAAAGTTTCTGCCAGAAAGAACCAATACAAAGTATGAACTCATCCATTAACTACTTGATAGGATATCTTTTAAGATAACCGTGTAAGCAGAAGAAAGAAAATACTGACACAAGGCCAAATATGCAGGACACATGTATAATCAAATATCGATAAATATCTCGATAAAATTTGCTGAGCTGCAGTTGAGCAGAAGTACACCAATAAGAGCAACCATGCCCAGGAAAACAGTATCCCTTCACTATTGAACTTTGAATAGCCTTTATGGCAACCTACATTCAACTACATAACAATGCATCCTGATTGTAGATTCTCCTAGTGGTCGAGTTTCTTTTCTTTTCTTTTCTTTTCTTTTTTTTGGGTGGGGGTGGGGGGTATCCTGACTGTAGAAGCATAGCATAGAGACTCACCTGCTTCTTTGTTAGAGGAAATGTAGCTGCCTTAACAAGAACAGTGAGGAGAATGATTGCAAAGCCATATGAATAAGGAACATGGAGAGCTGATAGACCATCTTTCAGAACCTGCCAATGGGGAAATGTGTAGAAAGTGTGACACAAACTCTATAAAAATATCAGAGGAAGGCACAGATGGAGAATAAGCATATGTCTATATGCACATAATGGAAAAATATATTATAATAATTATCAATAAGTTCATAATATAACTACTAGAGGGATCACTTATACAGTTATATGATCGTATGCACAAACATGAAGGAAAATGGGACACAAATACTGATTCTCTCTTCATCTTCTTTCTAAACAGTAGCTACAAGTACTATCTAATTAGGATTTGAAAAGGTCAAATTGACTAACAGTTAATCAAAGTACATGCGCCTTTAGTCTACAAAAGTTGCATCAATAGATTAGTGTTTGAAAAAACTTTTTATATGATACTGATAGCAGTTCACAATATGTTGTAAGAGAAATTAATGTTCAAAGCATACATTTCATCTTCTATAGCTAACGATCTTTTTATTGGTAATTACAACAGCAAAACATGGTACTTCCGTTCTCAAGCGTCAAAGAAGCATGAGTACATAAATTATTGTGTGCTTCAAACACATTAATCAGCAACAGTTGCAATTAACTGAACACCAATTGTTGCATGCAGTCATTTCCTTTTCTCAGAAACACAATTGATCCTTATCCTTCAATCCATATTCCTGCCTAGCGGTACTCTTGACAACTTAATCTCAACTGATGTGCTTGAAGCATGGATGTTAGGGGAAGTTTTTTTTTATTATTTTTGAAAAGTCAAACAAGCTGGTTCTTATAAATCCCTGGAGGCTCTCAAGGACTGCAGCAATTACTAATATCAGTATCAACACTGTCTGCAGGAGTGCAGGTCTAAATCAGAGTCATTGAAATAATGATGTCAATGTATCTTCATAGCAAAATATATAGGTAGGAGTTTGAACCACCATTGGAATAGCTAAACCTTGGCTTCATAGCTAAACAAAAAATTTAATCGAAATCTGAACCAGGAAATATACTGATAAGTCATCCGTGAAGATATTGCCTAGTGGCATGGCATGCATACTATTGCGGAGTTGTTGGCGGCCTAGGTGTCTAAACCTGCAACAACCCTTCAACTGAACCAAATACCACCTAAGGGTCGGTACTCTCCACAACATCCCACTATTTTTATTAAAAAAATGATAGCACTGGTAATCGCAGTGCCTGAAGTGGGGTGTTGAGAAAATAATTGCGGTGCCTCAAGTGGTTGTTCAGAAAAGCTAGTCCAGAAAATACCAGGGCCACATTAAATATTTCGGAGCACGTTCAGAAAGCATAAACGCACCTTCCCAACAACAACAGTAGAATACCTTAGCTAGATTCTGCAGGCAACGCACAATGTAAGCAAGTTCTTAGTAGATTCCAGCTAACACTCGTACTGTCGTCGTGCCATAGCATTTTGAACGCAAAAATGGGGTGGGTGTCACCGTCACCTCACAGTCACAGTTAGGTCCAGTTTAGTTTGCAAAAAAATTTGCAAAATTTTTCACATTCCCCGTCACATCGAATCTTTGACGCATGCATGAAGCATTAAATATAAATAAAAAATAAAACTAATTACACAGTTTAGACGAAATCCACGAGACGAATCTTTTAAGCCTAATTAGACTATGATCGGACACTATTTATCAAATAACAACGAAAACGCTACAGTACTCATTTTGCAAAATTTTTTTGCATCTAAACAAGCCCTTACCCAAAATCCCAAAACCAAAATTCAAAAACGAAAAACAAAATAGAGGAGACGCGTCCGCACACGGCACGGGGAAGCAGCAGCGACTCACGCAACCGCGGCGGCATAAACCCTCGAGTCAATTGCAGCTGGAACCGAGGCACGGGATCACATCGCACGCGAAGCGGCGGCGGGGGCCGAGAACGCACCTTGAGCACGGTCTCCATGGAGTTGGTGATGCCGGAGAGCCAGTCCCCGGCGGCGGCCTCCTTGGTCCCGCCGTCCGCGGCCGTCACGACGGGCTCCGCGGAGACGGCGGCGTCCGCGACGGTGTAGAGGAACGCCTCAACGCGGCCGAGCAGGTCGCCGGCGTCGGCGGGGCCGAGCGCGGCGACCGGGCGGAGGCGAGAGCGGGAGCGGAGGCCGGGGCGAGCGGAGAAGCCCCGCGGCGAGGGCAGGGGCAGGGGCAGGGGCAGGGCTAGGGTTTTAGGGCAGCCCGGGAGGTGGAGGTGGAGGTGGAGGTGGGAGGGCGCGGCCATTGGAGTTGGAGAGGGGGACGCACGCGGGCGGCGAGGCGGTAGCGGTCGGAGGGGTAGGAGGAGCCTAGGAGGCGGTAGACCGGCCCGGGCACAGCGAGAACGAGCGAGTGGCGAGTCCAACTACACGGACTCACGGAGGCACCGAGGCACAGGCGCAGAGCAAAGCGACGACGGATTTTGTAGCAGGAGCCGCAAGGCGAGCAGTGGAGTGGACTGACTAGGGAACAGTGTTTCGATACGGAAGGCAACGCAACCCTTGGCGCGGATACGCACGTGGGCCGGTGGTGGTGGCCTGGTGGAGCGCGTCGGGGGCGTGGGCCCCGCGGTTGACGGGTTAGCCTGGTCAGCCTAAGGTGGACCTTAACTTTATTAACTCCCTCAATTTTCGTAAAAGTTCACTTTTTCTCACCAAATTCTAAAACCGGGCAAAACATATCTCCTCAATTTTTAAAACCATTCATCTTACCTCTCTTAGCCTGTTATAAGCGGTTTTGAATGTGGTTTTTGTCTTTTTCTTTTTTATTTATTTCAGCTGAATTTTTAAAAAATCATAGTAAATTACAAAAAAAATCATAAAACGGAAAATTCAATTTTGTTGGACTCCACATGAGTAGATCTACACAGTAAACATATAATATGGTATGATTTAGTATAAAGTTTTTGTTGTGGCTTTAGATTTATGATTTCTATAATTAAATGGAATAATTCATAGCTGCAGTTTCTATGGTCCAATTATGATGAAATTTTTATGGTGGATTAATTATTGTATACTTAAACTGTAGTAAAAATTTATGCTTCATTGGATCATGTATAACTTAGTTATAGATTTTATTTAGGTTTATGCTTGTTAAATATAAATAAATCTATAACTAAGCTATACATGATGGAATGAGTATGAAATTTTTACTATAGTTTAATCATACAATAATTAGCCCTTCATAAAAAATTTATCACAATTGAACCATAGAACTGTAGCTATGAATTATTCCAATTAATTACATAAAAGCATAGATCTAAAGCCACAACAAAAACTTTGTACTAAACCATACCATATTATATGTTCACTGTGTAGATCTACTCATATGGAGTCCAACAAAATTGGATTTTCCGTTTTATGATTTTTCTATGATTTACTATGATTTTTCAAAGATTCAACCGAAACAAATAAAAAAGAAAAAGACAAAACCACCTTCAAAACCGCTTATAACAGAGTCAAGAAGGTAAGATGAACGGTTTTAAAAGTTAAGAGAGGTGTTTTGCCCGATTTTGAAGTTCAGGGAGGAAAAGCGGACTTTCGCGAAAGTTGAGAGAGGTAATGTGGACTTTTTATTCTATATATGGATTGATGAATTAGACTGTAAACCTGAGATATTGGGCCACTCGTCATGGTGCCGAGTGGGCCCAGGCACCCAGCAACCGATCCAGGCATGGTCTTTTCTTCGGTGTATTGACTATTGAGATTCGAGTATAAAATGATGTTTGAGTAAAGGTGAGTTATTAGTTGCCCTTTTCGCTTGAGCTTGTTATCCTGGCTTATCAATCATGGTACAATATTTTTCTCACACAACAAATTAACTTCAGCCGGCTTATCAGCCGCAAAAACCACCTGGCGAACAGCATGAGAATTAGGTGGGTTTGGTCTGTTGTGTGAGCTTATTTTAGCTTCTCTTTGGACTAATGGGATCCAGGGTGAAGACAATTATAAGGCTTTGTTTATCTGAAAATGATCAATCAATGAATTACTTGAAGGAGAAATTACTGTATAGATATATAGTATTTATTTATTCATTCATTGCTATTGATGATCCTTTACTATTATATATAGGAGCTTTTGCTTACCCTGAATGATGTAACAAAACTGACAGTAAAATGGGTGCCATCTTGGTAGACAGCCTTGAGATACCAAGCATGAAGTTTCTTCAAAAAAAAAAAAAGATACCAAGCATGAGTGTCATTAATGATGCAGAGCAAAGTGGCGAGCGTGCTCTTATGCTTTGCTGAATTCAAGCTGTCCCTCAACTCCTACTTATCTGAGCTGACCACTTCACCTGTTAGATCATTATCAGACATAACTGAATTGCTCACAGGAAGGATTTCATTTTCATATATAATTATCATGCACATCTAATTTCCTATGTATTTTCGTTGAACATAAACATACAATTATTGCAAAATTGGTCACAGGAAAGGTTGGCTGAATCTGGACAAGATAATCTGAAGCAACCAGTGGCATTGGTCCAACTGAGGAGCGTGCTATTTTGAAACTGAACAAACTGTGCAAAAGAGGCCTTGAGAATTATAATGCAAGATAATCAACTGGATGCAATTGTAGCCCCCGGTGCATCTGATCACGGCCTGCTTGCGATTGGTGGTTATCCGGCAATAAGTGTTCCCGCTGGATATGCTGCAAATGGCCCCTCTTGCCATCGGCTTCGGAGGGTTGAAAGGATCGGAGCCGAAGCTTGTTGAGATATCATTTGAGCAGGCATCGAAAGTAAGGAAACATCCGTCGCTGCAGCATTCAGTCCTTGGAATGTAACTACGGCAGTATTTTTCTTTAACTTTGAGAAAAACATTTATTTAGGGAAACACGCATGTATTGAATGCTAAAACATTAATTGTTTGTGCCTCTAACCAAACTCTTTGAACTCAAGCATTTTATACCTTGATCGTTCCTGGCATGTACTTTACAATTTATGAAAGTCTTTTCGGGAAAGTAGAGCAAAAGAAATTACAGAATAAACTTCCGACATTTGCTAGATAATGTTTGTACAATTCTACTGTGGGAATGCCAATTATTGCAGCATAGTTCCCTTGTATTTTCACTAAGAAACCATATAGTTCGAATTATCGCCTACTATTTGTGATGTCCCGAGGACCGGGAATTCGATGCTACTAAAAGTTTGTAAACAAAATTTATTCTTCTGTAAAAAGAAGAATCACTCTGTGCCCTTGGCCGCCTTGTATGAATTCACTAATTGCATCTGCACATCCTGCGACACAACATTATGCTCCAGGTACTCCATTGTAAATTCACCTTTCCCCTGCAGGACATGCAAAAAAACAGATAAATAGGAAAACCACACAATTTTTCTCCAACATTTATAAACAATAAGGCAGTCCCAGTGCACGTAGCTCCCGCTTGCCCGGTCAGGGGAAGGGTCCGACCACTTGGGTCTTTTGTACGCAGCCTTTCCCTGCATTACTGCAAGAGGCTATTTCCAGGACTTGGACCCGTGACCTCATGGTCACAAACCAGCAGCTTTACCACTGCACCAAGGCTCCCCTTCTCCAACATTTATAAACAATCTTGCTATAATATATTGGTTGAACCAAACACGCAAGATTTGGCTTTGCCTTCCCTGGCCTCGCCGGCCTAGGCAACAATTATTGTTTTAAACAATTATTTAGTATAGTATTTTTAATCGAAGGCAGGTATTATCCACTTGAGTAGCAAACATGCAAATCGTACTTGACAGCAGATTAGACGTTGCTTCTGTCAAATATAGCGCTGAGTTCAGTGGACACCATCCAATTAAACAGCAATATCAAAATAACTTTATAACATTAGAAGACAAACATTGCCTAGAATTTGATGAGAAAGAATATTGACCTGAGTCACTGATCGAATAGCTGTTGCATATCCAAACATATTGTTTAGCGGAACCTGAAAGAACAGGACAAGATGAGTTTGCAAGAGCAGTCTGCATGGAACAGGTACCAACATTATGAAGTACAAAAATAATAATCCCTGTCTAGTCGTCGCATGCTGTACTGACCAAGATCAAAATGACAGATTTAACAATAAAACCACATTAACCTAGGACCTAGGATCATAACGAAGACCCATAGTATTGTTTGCTAAGTGATTGGTGCAGCATTGTTTACATCCTTTGTGTCACCTGATATATGCCGATATGGGTATGGCGATACAGCATTTGCCCCAAAACAACGATACTTCGGTATGGCAAATATACATATTTATATAACAATAAGTTTTAAAAAACAAAATATAAATTGAATTTTGATGGCACTAAGCAAGCAGCTACTGGAAGTCACATCTAAAATATTGAAGTACCCATGCTGAATACATATCCATCACTAAGATGAAAGGGGGGGAAAGGAAAGAAAAGATTTTTTAAAAAAAAAGAGGATGAGATGGGCTTTTATGTTCTAGTTGCTGGCCCACTAAGCCCACGTAAGAACCTCAACTTATTACCCCAAGCACTCTTAATCCCTCCTTTCATCTTGCACGCAACAACCACTGCTGCTCTGGCTTTCTTTTTGCATTGTGGATCTCTCTTCTTCACCAATGCAGCTTCCACAAGCAGGTCAGTATTCCACAGCAATGAGCCAATGACTAGCAAAATGAGTAGCCCATGCTCCTCATCTCCATAGTCTCTCGAAACTCACAATTTCACCTTCTCTCTGTGACAACACACGAACAGCACGAAACCTACTGCACTAAGGTACTGGTAAGTATGGGATGCCTTATCGTCAACTTAATTCTTTATCTTTAAATAGCAATTTCCAGATACTCCTTGACATGCATATCACCATAATATCCCCAATTTCCCCTTCTCTGTGACTACGCACGAACAGCAAGAAACCTACTGCACTAAGGTAATGGTAAGTATGGGAAGCCTTATCGTCAACTAAATTCTTTATCTTTATTGCAATTTCCAGTTACTCCTTGGCATGCATATCACCATAATAACCCAGTGTATCGGACACGGGTACATGGACACAAAGCATCGGTGATACAAAGATTATTTCCTATTTTCTTAGTTTTTATCATAAAGTTATGACAGCAAACATGAGTTTGATCCAAAATAATAATTCAAAGATCCAAAAGTCTTAAGGTCATTAGTGGACAGAGGAATCTTCTTCAACAGCTGCGTGTTTGAGAAAAAAAAATCAAGAAACAGACTAAGTACAAGACATTATTTGCAAGAAAAGTAGAAACTATTATTCGGTGCTATTCATTAGTGATATGATGAAATGCAAGAAAAAAACACCTATTTCTCAAAATGAAGGAAATGTGAAACTTGAAGTCAGGAAGAAACCAGGCATTTACATACATGGCAAACTACAATGGTGTCGTCACCTTCCTGCTCGTTTCCAACAATGATCCCTTTTCTCCTGTTTTAACATAAATAAATGATAATTGACATAACATGCATTGAGACATGAGTTAGAAGAAAAAAATGAAGTGGGGATAATCGCAGTAACAGTCTACATATACGACTGAGGATATCAAATGGGACCAGACCCAACTTGTTACCACAACAGCCAATGGCAGTGAAGTGTGATTTATTTAGTGGTAAAGAAGTAAATTACCCCCAAGTAAACTGCAGAGAAATATCTGCATTTCTTGAGAAGAAAAGGAATACTACTATGCATGATATAAATGATGTTCCGGCCATAATTTACAGTAGAAGCATAGCTTGTTGGAACAAAGCACTTACTTGTTCATATCACCAGTTACTGTGCCCTGGAACTCCGTTGGAAATTTGAGTTCCACCTTCATCACAGGTTCTAATATTACAGGTTTGGCAGAAGTGTAACACTGAAAAAGAAAAAGAAAAATTGTAGAACACTTGATATTCATGTTACAACCAGAGTTCATTAGAAACAGTGTTGCCACCTCCAAGATATAGCTCACCTGTCGAAGAGCATAGATAGCAGCTAGCTTAAAAGCAAGTTCGCTGGAATCCACCTGATGTGAAGCCCCATCAGTCAGTACAATTCTTAAATTTTCAACAGGATGACCAATCAATGAACCCCTACAGTATGTACATGAAAATAAATGTTATCTGCGAGAGAAAAGAGAAAAGAGTTTAAAAACTAAGGAATACATGGACTCACGAATTGCAAGCTTCCCTAAAACCCTTCTCTATTGCTGGTATAAAGTTTGAAGGAATTGCTTGTCCAATAATCATGTTATCAAATTCGAATTTACCATCAGAACCTGATGGAAGAGGCTCAATGTACCTGCATATTGTTGTTTGTTAATTTCTCATTACAATACCAAATAAACTGAAAAATAAATGCAACATATTCATTTGGACAAAATAATGAAATATCTCAGGGAGAATGGTATCGCTTGCCCTCTGAGCACATAAACACCAATATATTATGTATCTACATCATTATAAACCTAGAGAGATTACCAATTCTCCAACACTTCTATGATACCGCTCGCACAAAATAAAATAAATAGGGAAGAAATAAGGATACAATATTACAATTAGTTCATTATTTACTTATTGTTTCCTACAATTGCAAAAACAGCATGGCTCTTTCTTTGACTACTGCTTTCTGTTGGAATATTATTTGATATATCCAATAAAACATCATGACAGTGCATTTCAATGCAAACATTTAGACATAATTTACCATGTTCCTAGTTCATATATATTTGAAAAATACTGAGCCAAAGTTTCAAAAGTTTGACCCGAAGCATGTCCAAAACATTATGTTTTCCAATGACCAGTGGCCATAGAAAACAAGTGAGGTAACTTGTGTACTATGTTTTTTTTACCATCCAAGTACCAAGGCACGGCAGCACCAGTAAGTCACTTCTCTGCTGGCTACTGATAGTCCAATTGTATAACCAATGCGCCTACATGATGAGGGTTTGTAGCCAAATGGAACCAACAAAGAATCTACTGTGAGTTTTTAGGGACAAATTGAACCAAATGCTCCATCTTTTTCAGCTCCGCTCCTAACTTCACTAGCCAAACGGGGCAACTCCAAAAACTATGATTTTCAGCTCCAGGAAAAGAGGTGGTGTTGGGGGCTAACTCCACGTTTTTTGTGGAGCTCCTTAAGAGGTACTCCAGAAATATGATTTTCTAACCTCCTCATGGAGTTGAACAAAAATTACCCACCATGTCACTGATTACAACACACCCATCGTACATAGTGTGGAGCTACAATTCTTGAGTGGAACTGCTCTGTGGTGGAGTTGGTAGGGCAAAGCTAGAAAAACTAGAGCGGAGTAGTCCCAAACAGGTCCTTAACAGGGAGAGAAACAAAAAGAGCAGACAGAATGTGTAACGGATTGAGGCTTAAGTCAGATCAAGATGAACTTGATGCAATCCTAGACCCTGCACGCCTGTTAGAGCCAGTCAGCCATACACCATGCCCTTGTTCAAAGTGTAGGAGAACCCTAAAGACTCCGCGCCTGGGACCAGCATGATGCCCTTGTACTCCCCCATCAAAGTTGGAGCTCCCACTTTTTCTTTCCTTCTCTGCTGCTTCTCTCGTCTCTTTTCATCCATTATGTTTCTATCTTCTCTCCTCTCTTCCTTATTCTCTACTTTCCCATGAAAAGGAGAGAACAGAGACAGAGGGCTGAAGGAATGTTTACAAATTTTTCCTAACAGGATAACTACTGTATGTGAGAATAAGAGCCACAGAGAACAAGGCTTGAAGAAGATCCAAAAGCAATTACCATTTTGAAGCAAATTGAAGACAAAAGCAAGTGATGCAAGCAGACTATTAATGACTAATTGAGTAATTTAAGAACTCACCCACAAACTCGGCCATACTGACCTTGACCGCCAGATTGCTTTTTGTGCAAATAATCAAATTCAGCACGCTGGGTGATTGTTTCCCTGAAGTTAACACGAGGTTTCCCTACCTTTGCATCCACCTATATAAGTTTCAAAATTCCAACATTCATAACAGCAATGTAATACACTTAAAGGAATTTACAGTCATACAAGTATAACAGCACTTGGAGAAGCTCAGTAGCACCAACAAATGTCAAATTGTGAACAGGGTAGGTTTATTATGGGGTTTCTAGGATTTGATCAAGCTTTCTCTCAGCTGGGAACCTTAAAGATGACTATGACAACCAGCTGCAGTCTCCATAAAATAGAAGACTTAACAAACTGATCCTAAATTGCAAATTCAGGGTTATCTTCCTCTTCTTTAATGGGACAATCAAGGGTAAAATGATCATTCTATAGACAAACTAGATTAGACGTTTGACTAAAAGTCTGTAACAAGGATATCCTCGATCATTCTAGTAATAATAAAGATTCGAGTAGCAAACTTCAAGGAAAGTTATCAAACACCCATCCATATATATAAGCTTTTTCACCCAAAAATAGTCAAGGGACCAAAGTATGCCTCTGACATAAATGTTTCCACACCTTGTACTCTCTCTTAATACGTTCAACATATATATCCAGATGCAGCTCACCCATCCCTGAAATAATTGTCTACTAACAAATTTATGTATTAAGAACTTCACAAAAATACAAATTAAAATTGAAATGGATGATGTGACAAACCTGGCCACTCTCAGCATCCAAACCCACACGGAAAGTAGGATCCTCCCTTTGGAAGCGATTCAGAGCTTTTGAAAACTGAAAGTCAAACGTGTATTTTCACTTAGGACATTAGGATAACAAACTACATATAGCAGTAATACTCTTTTAATGAAAAATATGATATACTTGTCCTCCAGAGTCTTTAGATATAGGTGAAACTGCCAAAGACATCACAGGTTCAGGGACATTCATTGAAGTCATAGTATATTTCACTGTTCCATCTGTAAATGTATCGCCTATTGACAAAGAGAAGTGGAAAGTCAGATGCACAATAAATTAAGTAAACAGAACTATAAAAAAAAAGTAAGATCATCCCCGTTGTCGTCTGCGTACCTGATGCACAATCAACACCAAAAACAGCAACAATTTGGCCAGCATATGCTTCTTGAATATCCTATATCAAACAAAACAATATAAACATTAACACCAAAAATCATTGATCTTCATCTGATTGAATCAATACTATTTGAAGTGAAAACTAAATCTAATGCAACTTACCTCCATCTCATTAGAGTGCATCCTTACCAAGCGAGGAACCTAAAAAAATCAATGTTATATTTGCAAAAAAATATCTAACTTCAAGTGCCAGATTGGAGCTTAAGCAGAAAAAACATTAAGTAATAGCAAAATTTACAAACTAGCATTTACCTAGACATTTAATTCTAACCTTGAGCTGGCAAACACTACATTCAGTTATAAATGCTCTAAAATAAACAATATATTTACACTTTCCTTAATAAGAATATAGATATATATGTACGAGAGAAATGTAGCTGTACATGGTTTAAAGTAAATGGCTTCCAAATATTTTAAAATTAAAAAATAGAAGGGAAAATGAAGAGACATTTTTGCAATTGTATTGAAATAACCTATTTTAGTTTGCCTAAACAAGAAGTGTACGACCAATATATATCATGAATTGATGCCGTTTCGAGTTTCGACTCAATAACCATTGAAATAGCAATTATTGTGTTAATAATGTATATTTAACTATAGCGTAGAATTTTGAGGGCTTCCAAGCCCACAATTTGAAACAACTCCTTTCAAAAGCCCCTTCTGGTGCATCGAATTGAAAACATTGGTATATTCTACTCCTAAAGCCTTAAATGTCTATTGTCAAAGGAAAAACACTCCCTCGGTCCCAAAAAGACATGTCACTTTAGGATTCAAATTGTGTCCCATAGAACATGTCATTCTAGCTTGTGGACAACTAGTGGGGCTATCAACATTAATTCCATCCCCTCATCTCACATCTAAATGCATGTTACACATGTAAAGCTGAGAAACCAGACTGCATGCATGGCATGAGTCACAAATCCTCGTATGGGGAAGGCTGCATGTTTTCCCCTTAATTAGCTCGGCGAACACAATGGAATCGCTACAATAATTAAGGAACATGGGTAAATTTCCTTAGAGCTCTAAATTGTCTTAAATTCCTAGTGATATCCTTTTTGGGACGGAGGGGGTAGAAAGCAACTGGCAATGGCTCAAATTCCTTCCTGGGACTTGGAAGTTGGAATTAAGACTCACTTTGATTTTCTTCCCTGTATTGACATTGTATATGAAGTCACCCTTCCGTATAATGCCATCATAGATTCTGGAATGAAAAATCATAAGTGATTAGTTTAAGAATAAAATATAAGAGTAATCTTCTCCTCCAGAGTTAAATCAGTGAGAATACAATAGATCAGTAATTAGACGAGCACGAATCACCTTAGATAGGTCAGCTGACCAAAACGACCTTCCTCTAGCTTAAACGCTAATGCCACAAGTGGTTCAGCTGGAGTTCCAGCCAATAATACCTGAATTTAAACAAAAATAGTATGAAGTTCATCACCAAATATAACAGAGTGATAGAGAGTAGAAATGCTCCACTATAATAAACGAGCTTCCCAACCTTCTATCCATTACATACTTTACCACTTCTACTCTTCTCCACTAGTAGGATTAAGTGGTATGAGATAGGAAGTTCTCTAAAGTTCAAAGTTTTTTTATTATAGTTATTATAGTTATAACACAATTTGAAATCCTTTGGTACCTTCTCTTCGGATTTGTTTTGATCAAGGGCATAGTTATCAACCTCCAACGGGCATGGTAGATAATCCAGCACGCCATCAAGAAGCGGTTGAACACCCTATAAATAAAACCAGTCAAAAGACAGTGTAAACCCAAAAACACCCAGCAATCATCTCATGAATCATTTCACTGTTAGAAGTAACGCATAGCAGCCACATCGGAGCTGCTTGTATAGAAGTTATCATCCAAGAGAAAACCTCAAGGTCTTATCTCCACCACAATTTGATAATCAACAAATGCCCACAGTTATTGGCGACCATTCTTCAATTAAAACAGTCCAAAAACATCAACAAGTTAACCTTGAATGCCATAAAAATGGCTTGCATGAACACAAATGTTAATTCACAGCAATCCAGCATACAACTATTGGGCTTCAACAAAAACCTGTTTCAAAATCCAACATGCTATCCAAATGCTTAGCTCCTAAATATTAGTCTCTTTAATGTTTGCCATTCATATAATTGTAGTATTGTGCTTGATTCTGGGTCTAAAATAATCATAAATTGCAAGGACATGAGATATACAAAGATGGTAGATGTTACAGACAAATCTGAAGTTCAACACTTAATAGATTATTACGAAACAGATTTGTACGCGAATGGTCATTACAAAAATGTATAATGATGCATCATTTCAATTTTTAATTTGCTACTCTCACATTATAAATTATAGAAGATTGCGACTTGTGTTTGTAGCATTAGAAAATAGCAATGTGTACTAAATAAACAATCTAATTCTAGGAAGAGTTTCAAATACTTTAACTTAAAGCAAGGGATGACACTTTCAATGCGCGAAAAATCTAGTTCTGAGTTAGAGTGCGAAAATTCTTGCTGCAGCAGTTTTATTCACTGCTTGCTACTTTATAAAATGGAAGATGAGATGAATAGATTGAATTGATAGTCCAGTTCAATCTATAGTCTAGATTCTGTTTCTTCGATCCACTCAGGCTTTGAATGCTGACTTGCCAACTGTTTTTTTCAACAGTTCGCACTTGCCACTGGTAAAAATTTCATATTTAAAAAGGTTTTGGTAACACCATAATTACATAAAGGAAATACTTTGTTAAAATAAAAAGCGCACACAACGTAAAATCAAATTTTTAAGTGGACATTGGTTACATGAATTTCCACTCAAATTTTCAAATGATCTGTTCTAAACCAAACAAGAAAGCTACATCAATTGTTACAAAAGCATTATGATTTATGAACACATTCAGTCACTGCTGTCTGTTTTAAATTTACAATTCAGCACCAGCTAAGCAATTAATCAGTACTGCTAAATTCTAGAACATGACTCATGATTAAAATCATTTAGGAATCCAGATTTAGCAATCATTTTTGTAATCATTTGTAAACGGAACAAAAAATAAACAAGAACTTTCAGGTAATGAACAAATAATTGCAGCCAAAACCTTATTTTTGAATGCACTTCCCATGTATACTGGTATGAACTTCTGTGCCACCGTGGCTCTTCGAATAGCCGCCTGACAAAGAATATAACATCAAGCAGCATGACAACAATTTAGAAACAGTTAGGAGCTAACATGTCACCAATGGTTCCTAACATGTCACCAATATCAATATCACACATTTCCTGAAACCTGATATAAAAAAAAAAAAACAGGAATGATGCAATGAAAATATAAATTTTAACTATAAACTATGCCAATAAGTAGGCAAGATATCATGTCACAAATAACAAGGCATGTTGTAAACTCAAATACCAAAAAGAAAAACATCAGCACAGTATGAACAAACAAATTTATTACAAATTTCTGAATGTCACTTGCATCTCATGCAAACAAATAAATATGTTTGCTATATCATAGGACCCAAGACTTTAAAATGAATTGTTCATAATACCAAACCAATGAGGCCGACAGATTTGCAGTATTTCCAATTGTGTAAAAAAATTGTCATAGCATGTAACAAAAGACTTTGAAATGTGTAAGTTTATATTCCCAGCTAATGAGAACCATGGGCATCACATCCTTTCAATAGTCAATTTTATATCTACCGGAAAATTCTATAAAGTAAGATTTTAACACAATTATTGTAAACATTTATATAATAATTACTCACTTGGTTTGCTGTAATAACTAAATGTAGAATTTTGATCATAGACTTATGCCAAGAAATTTGGGGAAAAAACATCATACCCTAAATAACAGGTCTGAAATTGAAGAAACAAAGAAAGGGTTTAGCTAGTTTTTAGCATGAACACTGAAACATTCAAATAATCATCTTCCATCCATGCATTACTTGTTACATGTTCTACTAATAAATTAAGAAAAAAGAACCACTATCTCACCACCACAATGCATTTAGTGCATATAACATAGGAAGATCAACTAAGCATCTCTGATATTTAAAGATTCAGAATATGCAGAGATAAGCAGACTCATTTTTCAGATGAATTTTCTCCTTATATAGTGAAGAAAAACTGTGTAAATTACATAGGTGCACAATAATAATGAAACTAAGAAGATAAATAATGAAGATATAGTAGACTAGAAAGCACTTGTTAAGAAGGTAAAGTTTAACAAACCTTAAGCTGATTAGCTGTTATTGGCTCATCATTGAGAAAAGCTTCAGCAAGCTGATCATCTACTTCAGAAACAACTTCAATAAGTTCACGACGCTTCTCAGTGACTAAATCCTCCATGTTCAATGGAACATCGGAAGCAGTTACATTCTGGCTGCACATTCAAATGAGATGCATCATTCAGGATTCAATAAAACAAATAGCCTGGAGTATTTAATTCTCGACGGAATAAGACTCACCCACTAGAACCATCGAACTTATAAGCCTTCATTTCTACAAGGTCAACAAGGCCCTCAAACTCCTCTTCTAATCCTATGGGTACTTGTACAGCTGCATTGTGATGACGGAGCTTGGATCGCGCCTTTACATGGAAAAAACAAAAGCAATAATCAGATGGAGAAAATGGTTCCATACTTCCAACACATAACCTCAAGAAGTCACGACCAGAACATCACTGAATGTAAGTAATATTAAAAGTAACCAAGAAAAAATGTTAAAGCTATTAGGGATAGTATGGAACACAACACCAGAAAGAATTACATAGCATAATGATGACCTGGTGGTCTAACCAAAAGCTGACCATTGCATCAAAATGTAAGCCTCATACTATATGTAAGAAAACTGTCAGGCTATCTACAATACAAGGTGAAGAGTACGGTTTCTCAATTATAATTCTGAAAATACAATTATTTGAAAGTATTCTAAAAAAATGCATTTTCATCTCAAAGAGGCATATGTCAACAAAAAATGTTACTACAGACTCCTTTTTGGGGAAAAAATAAACTGATGAAAAAATTTGTCAAAATTCATTCCATAAAAGATGGCCTCCTCTTTATCCAATGTTAATATCTTGAGGGGAGGAAGATAGCCTTTACTGAGAGTCCCCCCAAATTTGATCCCTTACATTCTCATATAGGGACTGAATAAAATTCCTGCTAAATCTTTCTCTCCAACAGCAGTTTCCCTGTCTGAAACCCCTATTATAAAAATGCACCACATAAGCAATTTGGGGCCATGTTTTTCATTGTTATGGCCCAAAAAAATTCCCCACCCCACGACAATCGTGATGCACCGACAAAGACACACTTCCGCTACCTGACAACATCTCCAGATAGGTGGAGGCGATTGATGCCAAGTGCAGCACCACAGCCCGGGAGCGCCAGCCGACCATTTCAGGATGCACTTGTGAGGACGGCGTAATTGTGTGTATAAGTGAGCTACATATCGACTGGAAGAATCGTGCCCGTGAAAAAATCACGCAAAATAGCAGGTAGGGTGGATAGCGTGTCACCGCAAATTTTAGGGGGGCAGGGGTAGTGGGGAGAGGATGATTTAGGATACCACTAAGTATAAAAGGTTGGATAGGGGAACTATTGGAGAGTAATATTATCTATATAAACCTTAATTTTGATTGCATCAACCTTAGAAGTTTCAGGATCAAGTCGGAGACGGCGATGAATGAGCTCACTAACACTAGTAAGCTAGCATGCATGTGTGGGGTACACTGATACAATTTTTTACGAAGCGCTCTACTGCTGATTAGTAAAGCAATAAGAGTATTCATTATCATCCTATGTTCTCCATTAGTGATCATCTGATATTATATTGACAATTTCTGAAGTTATTCTCAGTGCAAAATTCTTATGCATATTTAATACACAGAATAAACAAGATAAGATAGGCTTTAAGACACTCAAGAGAGGAATGGCTTTCAGCAAAATCAAAGCACAATATGCACAATCTGATTCATGCTAACCTGGTTAAGAACCTTCCATGGATCAGCTCCCATACGGTCCAACTTGTTAATGAATGCAACCCTTGGGATTTCATATCTTCTCATTTGCCGATCAACAGTGATCGACTGACTTTGTACACCACCAACACTACATAGCACAAGTATAGCACCATCAAGAACACGGAGTGCCCTTTCAACCTCAATGGTGAAATCCACGTGACCTGGAGTATCAATAATATTAATCTGCATTTAAATTATAACATGAGCTTTCAAATCCTCATAACAAGAACAATGTAATGTGACTTCAAACAAAAGAATCATTTGAATTATGTCAGATGATCCCTTGTCCACAGACACTAAACAAGCAAGTGGATCTAATGCAACTTAAAAGAAGTAATTATTAATCAGGTCACCCAATCTAACCAGTCAGTAGTTTCAGTGCACTACAGTAAAGTGCTTCTGATCCACAAGAACCCAAGGCATATCACCATCCTACTCAATGAAATTCACAAAAAGACAATTGTTGGATTCTTGTCTCTTTGATGGCAGCTGGAAGGTCAAGTGAGGAGATGATCATATCTACAACAATAATATGCCATCAAGATGTTCCTATATTCCTCCCCTACCCGTTACCTTTTTTTCCAGCAGTGTGTCCATGGCCTTGATAATTCTCAGTTCCCCATTTCCCCATGTTACAATCACATATTCCTCCCTTTATCCCCACTTTTTTTCGTATCCGTCTACAAATAGAATCACGATTTTTCTTATATTCACAAATTTCCTTCATTTGTTTTTTTTATACTGCTAGAAAACTAAACAAGCCAAGCAAACTTCCCTCTACATCCTTTGCCATTTATTCTTCAAAATAATAATAATAACAACGAAATCACAGTCATCCGGGGTCTGTAACAAAGGGAAATGGATCAATCAGAACTAAATAAAGAGGCTGAGCAAAAACAAACGGACCTGGTAATCCTTCCAGGTGCAGTAGGTGGCAGCAGACTGAATGGTGATCCCCTTTTCGCGCTCGAGGTCCATGGAGTCCATCTTAGCGCCGACGCCGTCACGGCCGCGCACCTCGTGGATCTCGTGGATCCGGCCGGTGTAGTAGAGGACCCGCTCTGTGAGCGTCGTCTTCCCGGAGTCGATGTGCGCGGAGATGCCGATATTCCGCATCCGGGCCATCGACTCCCGACACCGCGCCACATCCTTCTCGTCCCGTGCACGTAGGGCCGACGCCGCCGACATCGCCCGCCGAGCCGACGCCGCCGCGGCCGCGGCCGCCGGCGAGGGGGAGTCAGCGAGGTGCGGCTGGAGGAGGAGGGAAAAGGGGCGGAAGGAGGATAGGAGATGGGAGGCAGAACGCCGGGCCATGGCCATTGCCTAGGAATCGCGACCGAGGCGGCGGCGATGGTGGCTCTGGCTCTGGCTCTGGCTCTGGGTGGGTTTTGGACTTGGGACTTTGGGTGGCCTGGCTCTGTTACAGAAAACCCTAGTCCTTAGGGCAACTCCAACCTATTTCTCAAATTTTGGCCCCTTATCTTCTGAAACGAGAGTGCATCATCCATATTCAAGTTTCTACTTCTCAGCACACTTCAACATATCTCTAAAACTTTCCTACTTTACACTAAATTGTCATGTGTCTCATTTATTAGACCCACTTGTCAACCTTGTAACAAGAGAGGAATGAGGAGTATGAGAGAGGATGAGGGACTCCTACATCTAGGGTTTAGGAGAGAGGAATAAGAGTGCCTCATCTATCGGGGGCCGAATGAGACTTCGGTTGAAGCTATGTTTTCAAGTCATAAGCCCCTAAAAGAAGGATAGGAGTCTAGATAAGAGCTTGGTTGGAGTTGCCCTTAATTAATAGAGTCGTGTATGTTACACCTCATGCCCGCCTCGCTCCCTCATCAGGAACCAGAAGCCGAACGAGTTACACACTACTATACAAAGAAAATTAGGGCAGTCTCAATCTACCCTACAAATTCACCAACTTTTTCTTTGCTAGAACCACACCAAAAAAATGTCCCCTGCTGAGAAGTCCTCCATCCATACACCCAGAAAAATGTACCTAGAAAAATAACACATTTGAAACGACGATCCAGATTTACTTGTAAGTCTTCTCTCTCCTTACTCAAATCCGACGGTCAAGATCATGTGTGTCAACCTCCTCATCCTTAAGCGCCAACGAAACCCCCGTCCCGCACGCCCTCTACCCCACACACCCGACGACGCCGAAGATTGAATCCCACGGGCACCCAGGGCTGTCCTTTTTTCGGAGAAAAAAATGAATCACCAGGCGGGAGACTCACGCGCCCGATTGGGGTAGCGCTCGCATTCGGCAGGACTCAGGTATCACGTCGTCGTCACCGCCGCACGCTAGGGAAGGCATGGTAGCTAGGGTTTGTCCGATCCTCTCTGTCTGGTTCATAAATCCGGGGTCCCCAATGGACCCGCTTCCCTGCAAAACCCGGCCCAGCAGGCGGCGCAGCGACAGCACGTGTCTGGGCCGGCCTAGATACATAATGATAGGTCAAGACAACGATCCGGTCCCCGACAGGAAGGCCTGGCCAAGGTGGGACCGCAGTCCGACTCTGACCCCCTTTCTCCGACCGAGGATACGCCGGATCTTTGCTCGCTGCTCTTTCCCGACCGACACGGTCGGGGCCGACTAGAAACGAATGACCGGGGACGCCGCTCGGTGTGGGCCTAGGGAGTAGGCAGAGCAGATAAGGTAAGGCGCTCAAGTCAACCGCAATACTAAGGACCGTACCCTGCCTTGCCCTGCGCACCTGCAGGACGGTGCCATCGGGGCATATCAGGTGAATACACGGTAGAGCCTGCCAGACACGTCAGAGCATAAACAGTATTGTGGGCACCATCGTTTATCGTACTTAGGCGAACATGGTAGAGCTCTGCCAAATACGTCTGAACATAAACAGTATTATAGGCACCGACGGCCATCCCGTACCCGATGTGTGGGCAACAAGATTAGGCAGCGCACGTATACACTCTCTCTTTTTCTCTGACTTATAAGGCCATCCCCTTCAACTATAAAAGGGGATGAGCTCTCTCCTAAAAGACCCCCCTCGAAGATTGGACGACTCGAGGACTCGATAGCTCAATAGCTCAAGAGCCCGATGGCTACACAGTCTACACGCTCTCAATAGCTGATAACCTCGGACACACAGAGCATACGCTCTGATACTTAGCGCACGTTTGAGCATCCATCACTCTCGGTCACTCGGTTTAGAGTCCGACCAGGCCTCAAACACCCCCTTCTCAGTCTTCACTCGTTTGTAACCCCAAAGCAAACTTCGAGCACCTGGGCTCAGGAATAAAGTCATCGACCGACTAAAATTAGATGTCGGGCACGTTGCCTGAACCAGTATAAATCTTGTGTCATCACGTGCTAGGCCACATCCGATCATAACGCACGACAAAACTACAAATATTTACTTGTTGGTCATATTTCACACCGACAGTGGGGAGGACGTCGTGCATTCATGCTTTTGGTCATCTGATGGCCCACATTTCCACCATCTTCGGCATGGAAGGCTCGAGCGATACTATTTGCTTCGGCTCGCTGGAGTTTCCCACGCTCCCACTTACTGGGATGTGGGCTCCTTCCATCTTTGTGCCACTCTAGACCTTCCTCTTTGGGAGTTTGGACTTTGTCACCGACCAGCTCGGCGTGTTTCGCCTCCGGAAGGAGGCGCTTGTCCTGGCGCCCACTGGAGGATGAGCGCCCTCCATCGGCCCTAGGCCGCTCGACGACCTCAACGTCAAGACACCCGTGCTTCGCCTTGAGCCCATGCTAGGCTCAAACCCCACGGTGAGTGATGTACATTTTGTTCTTTACTCACTATTTAACACCTACCAACTCTTTAGAGGGACCCGTTGTCCCCACCATGATCACCATGCGATCGGTTCCCCTATGACTTCGTGTCCCCCGTGGATGTGTGCATGCGGGGACTCCGAAGGATGCTAACACCGCCCTGTCTCACATCCGAGTTCGTGTGGATGGCGGGCTCGCTCCCACCTCCTTCCACGACCTCATCGATGATGAGGTCAAAAGCGATGGCTCTAGCGTCGGTGACGTCATGGCACCTGGCCACCCTCTGTCCTAGGAGTGCTTTATGGCGTACGCCCTAGGATAGCCACCGGAGGTAGTGGAGTCTATGTAGACTCACACCCCTCCAGACCCTCGTGCGTAGGCCCTTACGCGTGCGCAGTAGCACAGCGAGGAGTTAAGGCAAAGGCGGTAAAAGCCCGCCGCCTGCGTTAGAGCGCCCGGTGCATCACACAGCACCACATGCGCGTAACCTGACGACAAGCGGCACTCGGGGTCATGCCCGTCAGGTCCAACATAACATACTGGATGGAGGGGATGACCCCTAGTTTGCTCGGGCTAGCCAGAACATAGCTACTGCGGCGATGCTTCTACGCAGCCTCCCCAAGCCTGCCGACCCTCAGGAACAAACAATCCATCGGAACCTCCAGGCGTTGGTGGAGACCGCCGCCGTTCAGCAGGTGGAGAGCTCCGCATCGTGACACTAGCTCGCGGCCTCTTGCCCTACTCGGGACTAGGGCCGCACCAATCGAATCGCTCCGTCCACTCACCACAGCAGTTGTCGGCGCGTGGAATAGGAAGCCGCGGCTGCACCGTAGCCCGACCCGGCGCTCGCTCCACACCGACCACATGTGTGCCAATGGCTCGGGCCAAACCGAGACGCTCGTAGCGTCATCAACAATCGACGCCATGCGGCCAGATGATGATAACACCCATCGAATGGCGGCGAGAGCAGGCGGCGTGGGCCCCCGCCTGACCATCAAGGAGTGCGTGGACACGCACCCCATGTATGGTGGCTGACCAAACGATTGGATCCCCAACCCAGATGGCCCGGGGCCATGGGCCTTTGGTCATCACATCCAGAAAGCGTTGTTCCCACAGCACTTCCGACCGCCCACCAACATCGCCAGGTACACTGGGGAGATGAAGCCCGGTATATGGCTCAAAGACTTTTGGCTCGCCTACCGAGCCGAAGGAGTGGATGATGACTACTTCATCATCTAGTACCGCCCCATCTATGTGGGGGAGCATGTTCGAGCATAGCTCGAATTCCTTTCGCCCGACAACATCCGCGACTAGGCGGATCTCAAGAGGGTCTTCGTTAGAAATTTCCAGAGGACGTATATATGTCCTGGGAATTCCTGGGACCTCAAGAGATGCAAGTAGGAGCCCAACAAATCTCTGTGGGATTACATCCATATGTTCTCAAAGCAGTGCAACTCCCTTCCTGATGTCGTCGATGCGGACATCATCTGCGCATTCCTCTCTGGGATAACCTGCAAATCCTTGATCCACAAGCTCACTGTGTGAAGCCCCGTACCACCCATGACCTGCTCGACATCACCATGAACCATGCCTCCGGTGAGGAGGTGATCGGGATGGTCTTCAGCAGCGGTCGAGATAGGGGCAAGGCCAAGCGCGATGACCAAGGCGAGTGCCCCTCCACACAAAAGGGCAAGAAGAACAAGAAGGGTCGGCACCGACCGTCCAACCCAGCTTTGGTCGCTGCGACCGACCGAGCGGGCAAGCATCCCCAGCAGGGCCAGCCTGACCACTTCGACAAGCTCATGGAGAGTCCATGCACCAACCGTGCCTATCCTGTCAAACACCTCTACAAGGACTAAGAGCTCCTCAAGCGCTTCCTACGGCAAGCCACCAAGCTAAAGAAAGGGAAAGGCAAGGAGGAGGAGGCCAAGAAAGGAGGCGCGACGGGCAAGGATGAAGACGGCTTCCCCGAGCCCGAGGAATACCTCATGATCTTTAGGGGATCCGACGCTATCCACTCCAAGCGTTAGCACAAGGTACGCTACAGAGAGGTATACGCTTCCGAGTCGGCCATCCCCTCTTTCCTTAGCTGGTCGGACTCCCCGATCACTTTTGATTAGAGAGACCATCCTTCCCACATCGCCCGATCGGGTCGCTACCCACTCGTTGTCGACCCCATCATCCGCAAGAAACACCTCACCAAGGTGTTGATGGACAGAGGCAGCGACATCAACATTCTCTACGTCGACACCCTCGACACCATGCGCATCCCCCGATCGGAGCTCCACCCAGTGAGCTCTCACTTCCATGGCGTGATCCCAGGGACGCAGGCATATCCACTCGAGCAGATCGACCTGCCCGTCACATTTGGCGACCACGCCAACTTCCGCTCGGAGGTCCAAACCTTCGAGGTAGTGGACTTTCCGAGGTCCTACCATGCCATCTTGCCATGCTACGCTAAGTTCATGGTGATCCCCAACTACACCTACCTCAAGCTGAAGATGTCGGGGTTGAACGCATCATCACCATAGGTAGCACCTTC